GGTAGTTTCCTGCAGAACTCCACAGGCACCATCTTTCCAAGACTCCACACTGTCCCAGGGCTGCCAGAGCTGCATCGCTGAGGAGGGGCCCTACTGGAAACCTGTTTCCTTTTAGCATGGTGTCAGAGAACACCCCATCCAGTCTGTGAGAACCCATCCAGGATGAGAACCTGTCTCAGGGAGAAAGAAGCAGACAGAGCAGGGATCGCACTCACTGGGTGAGGGTGTGATTCACTGGGGACTCACGGAAAGAAGACAAGACCTGGACAGCAGCAAGACCGGTGGATGCCGGGGCTTGGGTCAGAAGGAGGTGCAGATATAATGGTCAGACAAAAGTGACTCCGTCCAGACTGGAATGTACCCTGTTTATCTTAATTTGGCATAAAAAAAAAATCAGGCTTGCTCTTGTGAAACTCCACACACACTGCTCTGGTGGTTTTGTCTACCAGTAGTTGACTGGGAAGTTGTGGGGAAAACAGACCAGAGTTACTCGTGGCAGTTCTAACTCAAGATGGCTGTAGCTAGGCCAAGCTGCATCTGCACACAGCCCCTGGGTCTTTTGTTACTTTAAATTTAACCTTGCATTTTTCTGTCACAGACTAACACTTGTGATAATGAATGTCACTGTGAGAAAATTGTGTGTGTAGTGGGGTAGGTGGTGTGTGTGTGTGTGTGTGTGTGTGTGTGTGTGTGTGATAGCCACCCTCTTTGTGCTCACCTATGTCATTCTGTGTCCTTTCAAACAGGCAGCTGATCTTTCTGTCTTTCCCCCACCCCTCTCCCACTACTGGTGATTGAACCCAGGATCTCAAGGATGCTAGACAAGTGCTCTGCCACTTGAGCCATGCCCCCAGCTCTTTTGTTTGTATTTTTGCTTTTGAGATAGTCTTGCTAACTTTCCCTGGGCTGGCCTTCTTCTGCTCCAAGTAGCTGACTGCCTGTAAGCCTCTGCTCTGCTCTTGCCTGCCCTTCCTCACCCTCATTCCCCAGCCTTGGCTTAGACCAATCCCTCCTTCTCTCCTGTGCTGTCTCCTTGCATAAATGCATTGCTGTCATCCTCAGAGAAGGAGCTCCTGCCATGTAAGCTGGCTTGTCGATGGTGGTGTCTGCCTCTTACCCCTCATCCCACCCTTCACTTGGAGATTATGGGGACTTTTCCAGAACTCCAGGGGAGGCAGGGTGCACAGTGCACGTCTTGTCCCTCAGAGTTTGGTGGCTCCAGCCTGGGAGGAGTGGGACTGTGGCACTGCAATTAGTATGTCTGTGGGTAGGGGAGCTTGGACCCACACTGACACCTTCCCCCAGGTCTCTTGTTCCAGTAGAGCATGTACTTCTGTTTTCTCAGGCAGATGCTGATCCTAAGACCCTGCCTGGACCCCACATCTGGCCCAGCCAAGACCCTGCTCTGCTTCTCATGTGCCTCTCAGCTCCTAAAACGTCACTGCACCATGTGCACTGCACTGTGCTGCCTGCAGTCTGGTGAACTGGTGTTCGGATGATGGGGGAGGATGCCAACCGTTCATGGGTGGACATTCAGCTGATAGGTGGGCATGTTCAGGCCTGGACACCTGGCTCTCTGCAGCCTAATCCCCACATGCCCGCCAATGCTGGGCCCCCACATGAGGCCTGAGGTGAGTCCTGAGCCCACTCAGGCCTGTCGCCACTATTCCTCTGGTTGATGGGGGACATTTGCTTTCTGGGACTTCTTTAGAAGTGACTTTGTGTGTATGTGTGTGTGTGTGTGTGGGACTTGAACTCAGAGCCTACACTTTGAGCCACTGCACCAGCCTCTTTTTTGTGATGGGTTCTTTTGAGATAGGGTCTCATGAACTATTGCCCGGGCTAGCTTCAAACTGTGAGTCTCCTGATCTCTGCCTCCTGAGTAGCTAGGATTATAGGCATGAGCCATGGGAGTCTGGCCAGAAGTGACTTCTGAAGGACCATTTTTCTGCATTACTGCTTTTCCACCTGTGGTAGAATTGCCAGGGGACAGACAGCCCTGGAGGCTGACAGGGAGCTGCTCCTGTGGCCCCAGGTTCCCTGTGAGGGATGTGCTAAGCTCCAGGCTGTGGAAAGCACCTCCCTACCTCACTGGTTGAGCTCAAGGCCAGAAGCCCACCATTTCCTCCTCCTATACCTACCACCATGTTTCCAAAGCATGGATGGGAGGCTTCTTCAAGGGTATTCTAAATCCTCCTTCCGTTTTGAAAATGGAAGTAGCAGATTCACATGTGTATGTATGAATTTGTCTTCTGATCTGCACAGATCAACACACAGGTGAGGACCAAGAGCTATGCAAAGCCATCAAAGAACAGAAGCCAGGTAAGCACCTCAAGTGACAAGCAAGAGTGCAAGCATGAACTGGAACAGCTTCACGGCCTCCCTGTTGGGCAGGTACCTCCCAAACATAGAAGAGACAGTGGCAGATTCAGTGTCTGATTTCCTAGTAGATTTCATGGTGAAATAGGTCTGGATGGAGGTAGAATCAGGACTCTTTCCTGGTGTACTTCCTGGTGGGGACTGGTGCCAGGGCTGGCAGCAGGGCCTGGCATGGCTGCACATACTGGAGCTGAGTGGCCTCCTGCCAGTGTCTTTGCTCACTCCCTGGGTCTCTCCTCCCGACAGAGGCCGAGACTTGGAAGGGCAAAGACCAGGAGGTCATTTCCCAGAGCTCGCTTGTCATGTCTTAGAGCCACACAGCTCTGTCTGTGTTTCCCTCTGAAGAGAAGCCCATATCAGTCTCTGTGGAGACACTGAGCCACCTCCCCTTCTTTATGGGTCTCTGGGATGGACACTTCCCAGGACAGGTGGGACTCACAATGTGTTCTCTGTTCTGGGCCTGGATGAAGCCACAGAGGTCCTGCAGATGAGGGGACGGTGTCCTTCAGTGGACACAGGGTGGGGGGGTGGTCTTTGCCAGGCTGCAGCCCTAGACCTGAGAGCAGAGTGTAAGAGATAGCACAACAGGAGGTGCCAGTGGGAAGCCGGCTGTGCCTACCCTCAGAGGGGATGGCCAGGATCAGGACAAGAGCTGTGTGAAAAGCAAAAGGGATCAGAGCTGTCATATGTAAAATATCATTATCAAATTCAAGCTCATGAAGATTTGCACCTATGACTTTTTCTGAGACCTGGATATCTATTTCTGCAAGAAAAGCCAGCTGCGATTTTGGTGGGGCCTTTGCTGAATTCTTAGGTCAGTTTGGGGAGTGTTTTGTCTTAATGGTAGGAAGTCTTCCAGCCCAGGAACTGGAGACCCTCCACTTACTTTGATTGCTTTTTGTGTCTTTCAGCACGATTATACTGGTGAAATCTTATACCTACTTGGTTCTGTTTATTTATTTTTTTGGTGGGATGGGATTCAAACCCAGAGCTTCAGCTTGGAAAGTTTGCAAAGCAGGCACTCTACTGCTTGAGGCACATCTCCAGTCCATTTTGTTCTGGTTATTTTGCAGATGGGGGTCTTGTGAACTATTTGCTTTGGGGCTGGCCTCAACCCGAGACCCTCCCCATCTCAGCCTCCTAAGTAGCTGGGATTACAGGTGTCAGCCACCAGCACTGGAGGTTTATTTTTATTTATTTATTTTTTGCAATGCTAGGGATCAAAGCCAGGGCCTCAAGCATGCTAGGCAAGTACTCTATACTCTACCACTGACCTACACCCCAACCCCCTATTGACTGGCATTTCTTTTTTCTCTTTTTCTTTTTTGATGTTGTAAATGCAATCCTTTTCTTAATTTGCTTTTGCATCATTCATAGTTCACAGTAAAGAAACAAAACTGTTGTTTGCATCTTGATCTCATACCCTGCAGCCTGACTGAATTTATTTGCTCAAGTAGTTTTCTTGTGGGTTCTTCAAGATTTTCTAAATACAGGCAGGTCCTGCCACCTGTCAACAGAGCTGACTACGTCTTCCTTCCTTACCTGGTCCCTTTTCTTTTGTTTGTTTGTCTACTGGGTTTGGTTGGGACCTCAGTAAGAGTTGAACAGCAGTGGTGGGGCATATGTCCTGGTCTGGTTCCTGACTTTCGGGGAAGCGTTCAGAATGTGAGGTTGGCTGTGCAGCTTTTGTTGTGTAGTTATTGGAGTGGGCTTTTTTGTGTCATGTTGTTTTGTTGTTTATCTCAGAAGTTGTTGGATTTTGTCAACTGGGTTTTCCATCTCTAAGGTAACGGGAAGCCTTTGTTTTGCTACTCTTCTTACAAACCTGGGCGACCTGGGTGGAAACAGGGGCTTCAGAGTGCAGCTGAAGCTGCAGGGTCCAGTCCTCGGATTTTCCTTTCCGTTCTGCAGACTGTGGGGAGAAATACAGGCAGCCCCTCAGCAGCACCCGGCGGGAAGTGGGCTGTCAGAGTCTCTGCCGCCTGCCCAGTGCCCACCTGCAGCAGCCTGGTTGCTCATTCCGAAATGACAGGAACCCTGCAAAGCTGCCAGTGTCCAGGAGCAAGCACGTAGGGGCAGATGCAGTTGTGGCTCTGTTCCTGTCGCTAGCCGCTAGGTGTCAGTGGAAACCGCACAAGCGGGCCCCTTCCCTGACTGACAGCTGCATTCTCGTCGTGTGCGTGAGTTCACCCCTTCCCGCAGACCTGTGTCATCATTTTAGTCGAATGTCAAGGCTGCAGTGCTACAGCTATGAGCGCTGGGCTGGAGGTTTTGCTGCCTGGCCATGCTGCCCAGGAAGAACTGCCAACCGGCCCAGATGCCCTGAGCCCGCGAGTGTGGGACGGAAGCTCCAGTTGCGGAGGTCTTTGGGCTCCTGCGGACAACAGTGATTGTTCTGAAGGGCTTCCGGTGCTGCGGCCTCCGCAGGCGGCGGGCGGGGCCTGAGGCTGTGGCTCTGGCAGCTGGGTGGGTGCTGAGGCGGGGCTCCGACGGGGGCGGGGCTTGGGCAGTGCGAGGGGGCCGGGGCTCCGATGGGGGCGGGGCTCCGATGGGGGCGGGGCTTGCGCCGCCGGGTGGGAGCCGGGGGCGGGCCTGGGGCGGGGACTTGTGCGGAGGGATCGCTGAGCGGATGCACGCGGCGGCCCTGCTGAGGCTGGGACGGGCGGCGGGCGTGCGGCTCGGGGACGTTTCCCGCCGCCCGGCCTCGGTGGTCGCGCCCAAGTCCAGCACAGCTGGGTAAGGCGGGCAGGCGGGCAGGCGGGGGCCAGAGCTGAGGCCGCACGGGGTGCAGCCCTGCCGGACGGCCTCCTCTTTGGTTCCCTCTCGCCCGAAGTCTCGGGTGACCGAGAGGCCGGTGAGCACGTTGTGACCTGACGTGTAGCACGTGACTCCCGCGTTTGGTTTGGAGCCGTGGGCGGAGCTGAGCGGTTCGTGCGTCCGTCACGGGTCGTGGGCACCGCTGCAGGCCCGGCTCCAGCCTGCCGTGGGGGTCCGGTGGGAACCAGTGCTGTGCGGGGGCGGCTGCCTCAGCCGGGGCTTCACAGATGGGCAGGGTTCCACCCAGCTCCTGCGCTGGACGCTCCTGGGGCATCCAGCCGGCCAGCTCCACTTGCTGCTGTTGCTAACTGAGGGCTCAGAGCTTTGTCCTCAGGGTGGTGACAGTCGTCTTCGGGTGAAGTGCAGCACAGCATGCCCTGCTCGCCTGGGGAGCCCAGCTCCTGCTGGGGCCAACTGAACTCTGGGGTGGCAGGGTGCCTGGCAGGGACGGCGGGGGCCTGTCCCAAAGGCTGGGCTCTGGCCTCTGGGTGGCCCTCATCCCTCTGAGGCCAGAAGCATCTACACAGGCAGTAAAAGGCTTGGGGTGCAGGAGCACAGGCAGGGCCTGGGTAGCTGCTTCTGGTGGCTGTGCTTGGTAACTTGTCAGTGAAGGGACAGAAGAATGTTGCCACAAATGGGCCGTGCTCCACAGCCCTGCTCAGCTGCCGGCCAGTGGGTCGTTTAAGCTTGACCTCAGTGTGCTAGTCTGTGAAATGGGGACAGTGGTAGAATCTACCCAGAGGCACCATCAGTGTGCTCAGTAGGTTGTAAGGTGTGTGTGTTTTCACATTTTCTGGCGTCTGTGTTGTCAGCGGTCCCTCCTGGCATGTGGAGCACAGTGGTGGTGTTCCCTGTCTTAGAACCTGTAGGCTAAGTGGCGTCCTCTGCATTTGAGTTCACATACCACATACCCTCAGGCTTCCAGAGTCCATACTCTCTGCCAGACTTGAGTGCTGGAGAGGCCAGTTCAGTTCCTCATGTCCTGTAGGACCCCTGCAGCCTTGGTGTGTAGCCTCAGGGCCAGGCCTTGGGGCAGGCCTGACAACCACCTGCCTGCAAGGGCCCTCACCACATAGCATGCATCGGTCACCAAAGCTCCTTGAGTCCACCCCTGAATATTCTTAAACCCAGCAGCTTCTGCCTAGTTCCTTTGTAAAAACAGCCAGAAAGAGCCTTTTAAAAATTGTTAGTCAAGCTGGGCATGGTGGTACATGCCTGTAATCCCAGAACTTGGGAGGCAGAGGCAAGGGGATCAAGAATTCAAGGACAGCCTAGACCCTGTCTTGAAAACAAAAGGGCTAGGGTGTTGCTCAAGTGGTAGAGAGCTCATTAGGCATAATGCCTTGGGTTCAATTCCCAGTACTTAAAAAAAAATAAAAAGTGTTGAGCAGGGCCTAATGCCTCCGACCTGATAGTCCAGCTGGATGGCAAGTTCAAGACCAGCCTGGGCTATACAGTGAGGCCCTGTCTCAAAGAAAATGTGTTGGTCACTTCCCTTTTCAAACAGCAGAGACCTCCTGCCCTTTGTAGGACACTTAACTGAGTCAACCCTGCCCACCAAGCTGGGCCACCTGGACAAAGATTAAGTGGGTGCCTGGCTCTCAGGTGTGTACTGGCTGGGTTTCTGTGACTTCGTGTGCATGGAAGGCCCAGCAAGGCCTCTGCCCTCTCCCTGCCACTGCTTTCTTATAGTGACAGCTGGGCGTTACTGGCATACAGCCCCCTGCACCCACCCACCCTTTTATCAGCATGCAGTTCAGCTTGGTGTCTGTGTGCCTCCAGGACCTGGCACAGTATTGGTCCAGTAGAACTCAAGTTCATGCAGAGTGAGGACGGTGTGGCACCATGCTGGGCGGTGTCCTGCTGCTTCCAGAGTGGAACTTGCCTGGGAGAGGATATCCTGTGTCAGAAAGATCTGGTGACAGACAGGGTGGGAGGGAACATGCAGTGTTGGTGCTGTCTGAGTGCCCCCCCACAACAACATGCCTTTCATCAAAGCCCAGGAGGCTTTCCGCCTGTGTCCCTGCCCTCACCTCCCACCTGCTCTGTTCCCGTGGGTCAGTACTTGTGTCCCCATCATGTGGGGACATCTCCTCTTGACTCCCAGCTCTTCCAAGGACAGGCTGTCCAGGAGCAGCCATGCTCTTTATTTGACGAGTGAGATGGCCACATGGAGGGGTACTGTGAACCCTGTTGAGAGGTTTGGAGGGTTCCAGGCAGCTCCCCACCTGGGGAGGTCTGGAGCATCCCTACCCCTTCCACTCAGCTGCGCTCACCTGAGTCCGTGTGAACAGTATCACTGGTCAGTTTGGGTAGGGAGGTGCAGACAGGGACACAGGAGGCTGGAGGTCTGAATCAGGCAGTTGCAAATTCTGACAGATACACTGGTGGGATGGCTGCCTGCTTTCCCCTCCCTCTTTCTTGGCCCTGTATTCTTCCTCTTTCTGGCACAGGCCAACAGCGCACTTGCCAGCAGCCATGGGGAAATCATTGAGGCAGAACACAGAAAAGGCTAGACAAGGGCCTGGCGTGTGGGCCATGCCGCAGCAGTTAGGTGCTCTTGTCTTGGGTCTTTTCAGGTGGGAAGAGGAGAAGAGCAAGGACAGAGTGAGGTGGAGGCAGCTGGAGCACAGAGGCCCCTACTTTGTCCCCGCCTACGAGCCCCTTCCTGATGGAGTGCGCATCGTGTATGATGGTGAGGACCAGTGGGCAGACACTCTCTTCTGTGTGCCGCCACTTCCAGCCGGAAGCCCGAATCTGCTGCTGACTGTGGGCTGCCTCTGGCTCTGTGCCTGCAGTTTGTCCCTGTCAGTGGTTAGTGTGTCAGAAAGATGCACTGGCTTTTCAGGGGTATGGCACAAAGTCCACTGCCCTGTCTGGGTTCAGAAGTTCCTGACTGACTGACCAATCACTTGGAGGGCAGGGGCAGTGTGGAGGTCTGCTTGATGTCCTCTAAAACCGAGGAGGGGGGCTGGTGGAGTGGCTGAAGTGGTAGAGCACCTGCCTAGCAAGCATGAGGCCCTGAGTTCAAGCCCCAGTACCGCCAAAAAAAAAAAAAATCACCAATAGAAAACTGAGGAGGGGGATGGTCATTGGTCAGGTTGCTGTGGGGGATGGGTGATATGGATTGAGGGGCTAACAGTCCTGCAGTTATTCACACTTTTCCGCTGTGAAGTGTTGCCTTTTGTTGTGCTCCTATGATTTCTATGTGGAAATTTGTATTTTAAAATTGCACTTGCTGGGCCAGGGCTGTGTCTGCTGGAGCACTTGCCTGGCATGTGTGAGGGGCTGAGTTCTGTCCCCAGTCAAAAATTAAAACGTTTTAAAAGATTACCTATGTTGCATTTTCACATAGCTTGAATTTAGCAACAAAGGAGGTGTGAAGGAGGAGGTGTAACTGTAGCTGTTGAAAACTGGGGGGTTGTCTGAACTGGCTCCAAGACACTCATGGGGTTACCTCTACTCAGGTGCACACATCATTTTTAACTAAAAGTGTGCTTCTGAACTTAGAAAATTAACATCTAGTTCCCTGTGCATGAATGCACAGCTTTTTTTCCTTTGGTGGGACTGGGGTTTGAACTCAGGGCCTCATGCTTGCAAAGCAGGCACTCTACCACTGAGCCACTCCTCCAGTCCATTCTTTTCTCTGGTTATTTTAGAGATGGGGTCTCGTGAACTATTTGCCCAGACTGGCCTTGAGCCATGACCCTCTTGAGCTCAGGCTTCCGAGTAGCTGGGGTTATAGGTGTGTACCACTGGTGTCTGGCAGTGAGCCTGTGGTGATGTCCTCCTCATCAGATTGTCTTTGGATGTCCTTAGGAAAGCCAGTGAAATTAAGCTTGGCTGCTGAGGAGGTCGCTACGTTGTACGGGAAGATGTTGCATCAAGAATATACAACAAAGGAGGTTTTTCAAAATAACTTCTTCAACGACTGGCGAAAGGTATGTGTCACCAGTGGCTGCAGCAGCTGTCCTGGACCTAGCTGGCCCAGTCACTCTGGGGCAGTGGTTCCCAGCCAGCTGCCATCTCTGCAGTCTTTTCCTCCCACAGTGACTGAGGGTTTGCCTGGCATAGCCTGTGCCAAGGCAGCGGAAGGAGCAGGGTCAGGGGCCGTTCAGAGGACAGGGCACAGCTCACACAGGAGGGGTTGGAGGAGACCAGAGGGACATTTTTTGCCCAGGAAGACAAGCACTTGATGTGAAGATGAGTGTGTTATATTCGGTGTCTTTCTTTTTCTCATTTCTAAAAAGTGAGTTACGAGTCTGGTCTAATCTTCATGTCCATCTTACTGAAGCCACCAGGCTCTCCCTGTGGCATTTTCCTAATGACAGGTAACATTGAGTATCTTCTTGTGTGCCTGTTTGTCATTTGGATATTTTTCTAAAAAAATTTTTTGGCGGTACTGGAGTTTGAACTCAGAGCCTCACTCTTGCTAGGCAGGCTCTCTACCACTTGAGCCATTCCACCAGCTCTTTATTTTTTTGCATTGGATATTTTTAAGATAGAGCCTCGGGAACTATTTGCCTGGGCTGGCTTTGAACCGAGATCCTCCTGATCTCTGTCTCCTGAGTAGCTAGGATTACAGGTGTGAGCCACCAGCACCCGACCTGGATATTTTCTTTTGTGGAGTTTTGTTCATTTAAAAAACTGAGTCACTTCTCTTCCTGCATAATTTGTAGGAGTTTCTGAAACATATCCTGGATACAAGAACTTTGCAGACAGGGGCACTGTGACCCTCAACTCACAGACTTGCATTTGCGAAAGCCCTCATAGTGCAGTCTTTAGATGAGCAGAAAATGTGAATTTATCAGTTGATGTTGATCAGTGTTTTTCTTTTATGATTAATACTTTTGTGTCTGTTTAAGTTTTAATCAGAACTTTGATTTACAAAAACTTTTCACTCCACCTCTTTGTGTTTTTATTCTCTTAAGTGTTTTTAACATCGATGGGAGTTTTTAACATTGACGAAGTTCAGTGTATCACTTTGTTTTTTGGTGAGACTGGGGTTTGAACTCAGGACTTCACAGTTGCAAAGCAGGTGGTCTACTGCCTGAGCTACACCTCCAGTCCATTTATTTTCTCTGGTTATTTTGGAGATAGAGTCTCAAGAACCATTTGCTCAGCTGGCCTTCAACCTTGATCCTCCTGATGTCAGCCTCCCAAGTAGCCAGGATTACAGGTGTGAGCCACTGGTGTCTGGCAATGGGATGTACTTTTTGTTATGTCTGATGAATCTTCACATAACTCAAGGTCACAAGGATTTTCTCCTAGAAGTTGTGCAGTTTAGGTTTTAGCATCAGGTCTGAGTGAGAGCAGTGAGACAGTAGCAAAGTTCAGTTTTCCCTGTATGGGTCCTGGTGATCCCTGCACTACTGGCGAGGACCGTGTGACCTGTCCCCAGTCTGGGGCTCTGTTGCTGGCCTCTTCCCCATTGTGGTGCTCCCTGCACTGCCTTGGTGCTCACCTAGACAAGGTGCCTGTGTGTCCCTTCTCTGGGTTTTTACTGGCAGCAGTTTTTACACAGTCGCAGTCAATGTGCAAATAATGTACTTTTCCCCACTTATCATTGTATTGTATTATTTCCCCACCTTGCTGTGGGATCCTCGTACTATTTCCTGCTGTGGTCGCAATGGTTGTCTTCTCCACAGCTCCTGTTGGAACCTCATCGTCAACCCAGCAGTATTAAGGGATGGGGCCCCTAGGAGGTGATTAGGCCAGGAGGGCTCTGCCTCGTGGGTGGGATTCTTGCCTTAGGAACGAGCCAGGCCCTTTTGTTCCCCTGTCCTCTCTGCCATGTGAGGACAGAGGCTAAGCTCCACCTTGGGCCTCACTAGATACCAATGATATCACTGCTGGTGCCTCGTTTTGCACTTCCAGCCTCTGGAATTATGAGAAGTACATTTCTATTACTTGTAAGTTACCCGGTCTCCGGTATTCTGTTGTAGCATCACCCATGGACTAAGACACTTTGTTAATTTCTTAATGCTCCGTTGAATGAGTTTGCTGTGATTTATCTAGCACCCTTTGGATTTCTTCCTCCTTCAGTTGTCTGTAATTTTGTAATTATTGTCACACTGACAGTGATAATGTATTTAGGATAGGATTGCTCAAAGTGGAATTAGAGGTTTTTGCCACTTTTAATACTGAGATGTAAAATTGATCTTGGCCACCTTATCCCACCTGACCCTACCCCACCTCTGCATTCACGAAGGACAAGGGGACACCATAGTAGACAGACTCCTTTAGTGCCAGCTGGGCTCTGGGGTTGGGGACTTTGTCATTGGGGTTCTAGGGGAGATGGGGAGGTCTGTCAGTGGGGTCCTTTATACATGGTGGGTAGTATGGGGCACAGGAAGCCCTGCTTGAGGCGAGACATGGCATTTGGGAAGTCAGTCTCATTTCCTGTAGAAGCGAGGTACAGAGGATGTGCGTCTGGAATCCAAAAGCTGTGTGGGGCATGCACGCTGGCCCCACACAGCTCCCGGCACTTCTGAGTCCTGGTGCAGCACTTCACATGGTGGCTGGGACAGGCTGTTCCCTGGCAAGGCCATGTGGCTTGCTCAGAGCCCCCCTGGGTGGCAGTGCCAAGGCCCCAGCTCACACCCCACTGGGGCCCTGGTCCAATAGCTAGAGGTTGTTGATGGTCACCTGACCCCTGCTCTGGAATGGCCCTGTGCAGTGGCCCCAGCCTGGGGTCTCTATGCTGCGGGAAGGTGCCTGCATTCAAGTTGCTGAGAGCCCATCTCTGGCTTTGGTACAGGAGATGACCGAAGAGGAGAGGGAACTTATCAAGCACCTAGATAAGTGTGACTTCACAGAGATCCACAGGCACTTCATGGACAAAGCTGCTGCCCGGAAGGCCCTGCCCAGGGAGGAGAAGCAGGTGGGCTGCCCCTCACACAGCCTTCGACACCCCCCTCCCCCCCCACCCCGCCCCAGGCCTTAGGAGGCAGGGCCGGGCCCCAGCTGCTCCAGAGGGACAGGTTTTCCAGTTACACACCTTTAAGTGCATTCAAAATGTAGTTCTGTCTCCTGGAGCACATTTGAAAGTAAACATGTTTGAAATGTCATGGCAGGGGAAGGGGCCCAAGGCAGGAATGTGGGATGTGTGAGCCTCAGTTTAACAGAATCCTGTCCCCCTTTTGTTTCTCACATCAACTTGGGCGTCCTGAGGGTGGCTGTCCTTCCACTGCCAGTGGTTTCAGGAGACCCATGTTATTCCAGAACCTAGCTTCCTCCTACCTTGGGGGCCACCATGCTCCTTCTGCTGACCTTACTACACAGGCAGGCAGTGGGCAGACGGGGGGTAGACGAGGGAGGGGCCAAGGGCTCTGCTGTTCCTCACCCTGCAGGGCCACCGGGGGGAGGTGGGGCAAATCCTGGGTCAGTATGAGGAACTTCAGCTAGTTCCGTTCTCTTCACTGCTAACATCCATGTGCTGTTTTATTAACTCAGAAGCTAAAAGAAGAGGCAAAAAAACTTCAGCAAGAGTTTGGATACTGTATTTTAGATGGCCAGAGAGAAAAAATAAGCAATTTCAAGATGGAGCCGCCTGGGTTGTTCTGTGGCCGTGGTAACCATCCCAAGATGGGGATGTTGAAGAGGAGAATCAGGCCAGAAGACGTGACCATCAACTGTGGCAGGTGTGTGGGACCCTGGCTGGGTGAAGTCTGTCTGTGCAAGACCCTGGCTGCCTGATGAGGTGACCTTTGTCCTTCAGCTCTTGTGGGATTGGCCACATCACAGGACGTGCAGCTGTAATGCACTGTTCCCGTGTGCCTTAGCGCTTGCGGGGCTCTGTGTGACAGTGGTGTGACGAGCTGCTCCCATCTAGGAGTTATGCTTTTCTGCACCCGTCAGAATCCTCCCCACTTTGCCAGGTTGAGATTTCTCACCACGGAACTCTCCTGTGTGTTTTTGACATGTATTTTTTTCACACACAGATAGCCTAATAGCATGTGTTGGTTTTGAGTGCGTTGTATTTCGGTCGTGGTGTGCTGCGTGTGACTCAGGGCCAGGAAACCAGGTATCAGGCTCAGTCCCTCTGAGCGGCCCCGGTGGCAGGCTTGGTGTGGGATGGCTGCCTGATCCATAGGTTGGCGCTTCAGAGCTCTCTGCAGAGCTGGTGGCCTTGCTGTGTGGCTGTCCAGGTCCAGTGTGTGTGTGTGGCAGGAGTCTGTTTCTGAGGCCAGGCCTACTTAAAAACCCTGCCACAGGCCAGGGGTCACGATGTGAAGTCACCTGGAGATGCTCATTTGCTGGAACTTCAGAGAACAAGGCCTTGACACTGTCACTGTTCTGCTGCAGGGATGCAAAGATCCCTGAGCCCCCGGCGGGTCACCAGTGGAAAGAGGTGCGCTCAGATAACACAGTCATGTGGCTGGCAACATGGACGGAGAGCGTCCAGAACTCTGTGAAGTATATCACGCTGAACCCCAGCTCCAAGCTGAAGGTGAGGCTTGTGCCTTCCAGGAAGCCCACCCCCAAGAGCAAGCAGGGCGCTTGGTGGTGCTGCTCCAGGGAGGCAGGTGTAGGAGAGGCCCCCTGGCCTCTGCCCGGCCTTTTCAGATTGACCAGGAAGCGGCCAGCCAGTGTTAAGAGAGTGCTGTGCCAGCAGCCTCACATCTGAAAGGAAAGCCTAAGGGGTCATTGTGGTCACTTTGGACTTTCTGAGGCTGGACTCTGCTCCCCAGCCCGTGACCCACCCAGCATGAGTGTGGGCGCTAGGCTGTGGGAATCCAGCCACCTTCTCCGCTGTTGTGCAGGAGTGTGAAGTGTGTCCTTCCCCACTTATTCTCCCTGCCCAGGGGCAGAGAGACCAGCAGAAGTATGAGGCAGCACGACGCTTGAAGGGGGTTGTGGGTGAGATTCGCTCTCAGTACCGGGCCGACTGGACGTCCCCAGACGTGAAGAAAAGACAGAGGGCAGTGGCCCTATATTTTATTGATAAGGTATGGGGTGGCCTGGGGACCCTGGGGGCTGGGCAGCAGGGGCAGCAGTGGAGCTGGAACTTTGGTCAGTGAGCCTTGGCTCGTGTGTGTGTGTGTGTGTGTGTGTGTGTGTGTTTGTTGTGTGCACGCACACAGGCCACGGCCCTGACCACTCTCTACCCTGGTCCAGCTGGCCCTGCGAGCAGGTAACAGGAAGGAGGAGGGTGAGACGGCTGACACGGTGGGCTGCTGCTCCCTCCGTGTGGAGCACGTCCAGCTGCACGCACAGGCCAATGGCTGCAAGTATGTCGTGGAGTTGGACTTCCTGGGAAAGGACTCGATCAGCTACTCTAACCGCATGTCCGTGGAGAAGCCTGTGAGTGCCCTGCCTTGTGCGAGTGTGGCCACGCCTACTCTGGGGTCTGTCACAGCACGGAGGAGCCACAGAGCGGACATGCGGCCTGTCTCTGGTGTCCTTCAGGAGGGCTGCTGCGCTGGCGGAGGCCTGGAGAGGGCAAGAGGCTCCCTCTGCCTCCCGTGAGTCTCTGTGGCCAAGTGACAAGGCACCACAGGCCAGTGACTTAAATCACACATTTGTCATGGTCTCAGTTCAGGTCAGAAGTCTGGGGGTGGGTGTTGGTGGATCATTTCCTTCTGGGGGCTCAGAGGGAGTATTCATTCCTTGCCCCTCCCTCTTCTTGTGGTGGCTGTCGGCCCTTGGTGCCCTCAGCTTTGGCATATCCTCCCGTCTCTGCCTCTGTTGCACATGGCTCTCTTCTCCCCATGTCTCCTTTTCTCACAGGACACTATCTTGTGGAGTTTAGGGCCACCCCTCTTACGTAGCCTCATCCTAGGTTACTCCTGCAACCACCCTGTTTCCACATAAGGTCACATCCTGTGCTTTCATGAAGGACATGAATTTCGGGGGTCCTGCTCACCCAGTGCACCTGGGAACGGGTGTCCAGCAGCCCTGTGCTGTGAAGGATGCAGCTGGGTCAAGCCTGAGGGTGACCCACAAGGCCTAGTTCAATGACATTGGTGGGCTGAGGGATGGGTGGAGCTGGAAGGGGTGGGTGAACTTCTGGTCTGCAGATCAGAACTGAAATGTGGGAAGCATTGTCGCCCTATGGAATGGCCGTCCCGTGGAATGTCACTGTCACCTGTTTGGGTGGGCACTGCCCCCTAACGATGACAGATCCTCACAGGCATAAAGGAGGTCCAGCTGTGGAATGTTTGGGTGTCCAGGGTGGCTGTGTGGGGCAGCGGATGTACCCAGGGGGCATCCAGCATGGCCACTCCACAGGGATCCGGCTCCGGGAGTCTGTCCTGTGGTACAAATGGGGAACAGAAGAGTGAAGCCAGCAAACAGAGATGAGAGGCACTTGGCACAGCGGAGGTGCGCTTGGCCTGTGAAGCTGCTCAGGTGCCAGCAGGGTAGCGCTGGGCATGGTGGGCATGCCTGTGACCCCAGCACCTGGGAACTCAACAGGACCTTGAGTTCCGCGCCAGCCTGTGCTACATAGCCAGACCCTATCTCAAAAATCCAAAAGAAAGAAAGAGAAAGAGCAAGATATAAACGTTTTGTTGTAAAACCAAACAGGAAAAGAAAGGGTGGGAAGGAAGGGGAGGCTGCCTGGCTGTGCGGTGTCTTCCTGGGATTCACAGCCCCTCATGGTGGACGGTACATCTGTGCATCATCGCGGTGAGAGAACTGGCTCTTGGCAGTGAGCTGTGAGGAGAGAGGCAGCTTTCTCATCTGTCATGGTTACTTGTACCCAACCAAGAAGGCGCAGGCTGCTGCATGGCTGTTGGAACTACGAGTGGAGGCTGAGGATGCCCACCATGCAGAGGCTGCCTTGGCTCCCGTAGGAAGGTGGCAGGCCAAAGTGAAGGAGAGATGGCATGGCCTGGTCTTTCGCGGTTGGCGTGATCAGGAGGAACTGAGTGCCCAAGGGGGTTGGACACAGAGGCCCTGTGATATCAGGCGTGTCTGACCTGGTCACAAGTACAGGGCCCTGGACTTGGGGTGAGCCCTGGAAGTCTGGTATTGGTGACAGGTTGGCTGCCTGCTGGGGTTGCTGAATAGGTTTGTAGAAGTGGCTGCTTGAGCACACGGATGCGTTAGCAGGGAGTGGTGCGTGCAGGGCCAGGGTGGGAGGGTTGAAGATGACACAGGCCCTGACGGGTGGGCCTGGGCGCTGTGTTGGCTCGGCCGTTCCAAGACGTGAGGCGCACAGCCTTCTAGGCCTGGTCTGCATTGTTTCTTCTCTTCCTGGGGCCTCTTCCTCCTCAGGCCCCAGTTCTCTGTCGCTGCAAGCTAAGCTGTCCTCCACTTCAGGTGTTCGAGAACCTGCAGCTGTTCATGAAGAACAAGAGCCCTGGGGACCATGTCTTTGACAAACTGACTGTAAGCCGGAAGCAGCTGTAGACCCCAGGGAAGGGGCAGGAGCACTGAGTAGCCAGGTCCTGGGTGGTCCCTCCTCTGGCCTGTAGCTGAAGTTCCTTGCCTACCTCCTTCTTGAATGCCAGAGTTGGCCTTGGGAAATCTGTGTCCTCAGGGAGACCCATCAATGGGCAGCTGTGTCCCCTCTGTGCCCAGACTTCCAGCCTGAACAAGCACCTGCAGGCCTGGATGGATGGACTGACGGCCAAGGTGTTCCGGACTTACAACGCCTCCATCACTCTGCAGAAGCAGCTGCAGGCGCTGACCCATGGTGAGCAGGTCCCCACACCTGACATCGAGCCTGTCCGTCCACCCGGGCTGGCCCCGCAGGAGTTGCCTGTGGATTGTGCCTGCAGTGGCGCCTGCACTAGGGATGAGCTGACAGGAGGTGGCCCAGTGGCCGTCCGCTTGGTGGAAAGATGCTTGTGGCTGAGTCCTGGGGAGTTGGGAGGCGCTGGTCTGCAGCAGTGAGTGGAGCCCCATGGCCCACGGTGGGATAGCAGGGTGCAGGCCACCCACCCGCTCAGCTCTTCCTGTGATCATCCCACCATCACGAGTCAGGCCCACCCGCCTCCCTCAGGCTGGGCTTTTTCCGCTCTTACCAGGCCTCTGCATTTCCTTCCCCTCCTCTTGGTGCCCCAGTGCCCTGCCCTGATCTTGGTACCCCCGGGGTCCTTCTCTTGGCTTCACACCTCCTCCCTCTGCTGCCAGTCCAGGGACTTTCATCTGGCCTCCCTAGTTCAGATGTGTGGCGGGGCAAAATGTGTCCTGCATCTGCCCCTTCCCCTTCTCCCGCCACGGCTAAGACCCATCTGGCTCTTAAGGCAGGGCTTCATCAAGGTCACACGGAGACCTGTGGACCCGGAGCTCTGGTCAGGGTGGGTTGCAGATCTGAGGTCGGGGGCTGTGCAGTCCTGGGGATGTCCCCAGGAAGGCAGAGCAGGTGTCCAGATGGGGGAGCCCCTGGCAGAGGAAATCTCATTAGGAGGCCAGAGTCCCAGGCAGCAGGCATCCTCGTAGGCCAGGCCTGGGAGATAAATCGCAGGTTAGACTTGTTTCTGGGGAGGCTTCATAAGCCCAGCGCAATGTGGCTGTCCTGGCCTGGGGATGCCTGGAGGCGCGGGAGTTGAGAGCAAGCAGCCATGTGGACAGGCAGCTTTAGGGGGCTTCACTGCCCTGAGCCTCATGTCCTGATGATGTTTCTTGAGGGGACATTGTCAGATAAAGCTGGGTCCTGGGTGCACTGTGTCCTGATAATGGGCCTGGGGGCTTGCGTCAGGAGAGGATCCCCAGACTGCACCTGTGTGCACAGCCCAGTCTCACCTCCTATAGTGCTTTGTAGCTTCTTTCCAGAGGGAGATTGCTGAGCCTGAATCTGTCCTGAGCCCCTGGCCCTACTCCACCTCCATTCCTTGTTACTGTGGTGAAACCCGCTCGGCTCCCTCCATCCACCACCCCCTGGGTTTGCTCCAGGCTGGCAGAGTGGCTCAAACAGTAGAGTGCCTAGCAAGTGTGAGGCCCTGAGTTCAAACCCAGTACCACCAAAAAAGAAAGAAAACAGAGAGAGAGAGGGGGGGGGGGGAGGGAGAGAGGGAGAGAGGGAGGGTGAGGGCTGAGGTGCAGCTCAGTGGTGGGGCACTTGCCCGACATGCCAGGGTTCCATCCTTAGCACCACAAAACAAGGCCTACTTGGAGCAGGCACAGGGGAGTGAGGATGGTTTGTGTCTTTGCTCAGCTAACGACAGCCAAGCCTCCAAGATCTTAGCTTACAACCGGGCGAACCGTGCCGTGGCTGTCCTCTGCAACCATCAGCGAGCTGCTCCCAGGACCTTCATGAAGTCGTTGCAGACTCTCCACGCAAAGGTGGGAAAGCCCATGCTGGTTGCTCCTCATTCTCCCCGTCTTTCCTGGTGCAGGTAGGCTGTGTAGTGGGGCAGAGGTGTTGGGGACTCAGGGCTGACCTAAGGCTGGACCTGGTCGGGAGGTGGTCATCCCCATAGAAACAGCCAAGCACCTTGGTGCAGAATTGGTTCAGCTCCTGGTGCTGCCTCTTGTCTTCCTGACAGGACATAGCCTGAATTCTAATTCAGGGAGAAGTCAGCGGAGCAGGAACCTTTGGGGATATTGGGTCTGCTCATGACTGACGTGGGTGGTACCTTTGGGCCTAGAGGCCTCTTGGCCCAGGCCACAGACCAGGCCAGGGTTAGGATCAGCCCCACGTGGCTCCACAGGGCCTTTCTCTCGCTGCATTGTCTCAGGACGCAGGGCCAGAGGGTGGGGTGTAGCTCAGTGGTAGAGCACTTGCCTAGCGAGTAGGTTCCATCCCTAGCACCACACAAAAAAAGGACGAGCAGCTGTGAACCACAGTCCCTGGGGGATAGGAGCAGCCCTGCCTGGACCTGTTTCTTCACAGATTGAGGCAAAGAAGGCTCAGGCAGCTGAGGTCCAGGTGGAGCTGGTAAAGGCGAAAGCCAACCACTTAACCAGAGGGGACAGCAAGTCCAGAAGGTACGTGTGACTGTGGTCGCTCTTCAACTTCAGCTTTCTTTAGGTCAGTTTTGTTTTCATTTTCAGTTTCAGTTGTTACCTTGTGATTTTTAAGAGCACAAGCTTATTACTTGTGGACAAAAGCTAGACAGTAAGGAGCCACGTAGAGAGCAGCCCTGGCCTCTGATGTGGACTGCGTGCAGGCCCTGGCTGCTGTGGCTCTTTGGTTTTTGTTTTGAACAGATGGTGTTGATTCCGTGGCACATGTCACCTGTTCAGAGAGCACAGTCCTGAGGCTCTGAGCATCTTCAGAGGTGTGTGGCTACTACAGTCAGTTCTAAAAAAGAAACCCTGTGTCCACCAGTCATCACTGCCCACCCTTCCCAACCCCAGCTGCCCCACCTGCTTGGTTGGGGATTAAACTTGGGCTCAGTGCTTGCAAAGCAGGTGCTCTGCTGCTTGAGCCACACCTCCAGTCCCTGTTTTGTTTTTTAATGATGAAGGGCGTTGGGTTTTGTCAGACACTTTTTCTGCATTTACTGAGATGATCATGGTTTTTGTCCTTTCCTTTTTTTTTTTTTTTTTTGTGGGGTGGGCAGTACTAGGGCTGGAAAACTCAGGGCCTTGTGCTGGCTAGGCAGGCGCTCTACCGTGTTGACATGGTGTATTAACACTAACTGGTCTTCAGACATTAAGCCATCCTTGCATTCCCAGGATAAATCCTGCTTGGCCGTGCATCTGTATCCACAGGGATATTCGCCTGCAGTTGTGTGGTGTCTTTGGCTTTGGTATCAGGCAATGCCGGTCTCATAAACAAGTTGGAAGGCGCCCCTGACTTGTTTTGTGAAAGCTGCGTTAGTGCTTCTTTGAGTGGTGGGTGGGTGGAATGCAGCAGCGAGGCTTCTCAGCCTGGGCTTTGCTTTGGGAGGTTTTAAGATTGCTGGTTCTCTCAGTGCAGGTCTGTCCAGGTGTCCTTTGTCTTCTTGACTGAGTTTTGGTGGGTTGTGTTTCTCTGGGAGTTGGTCGGTTATCTGACTTGCTGGCGTCCAGCTCCCTGCCCATTCCCTGTCATCCTTTGTGTTTCAGTGATGTCCCTGCTCTTACTCCTGATTGCAGTGGCTATGGTACTTACAGGGTCAAGTTTCCTCTTCGTGATGAGTGTCCTGAGGTGCAGAGCTGTGTCTTGAACAGTGGCACCCGTGGATGTGGAAGAAATGTCACACAGTTAGACCACAGGGTGTGCAGTGATCAGTGTGGCTGTCACCCAGCCCTGGCCTCCAGCTCTAGAGGCAGCTGCTGTGAAATGTCCCATGTGTCTCCAGAAGCCCTCACTCTCCCACCTCCATGGAAGCTCTTGGCCCCTGGCATTTCCAGCACTGCTCTTGGAAGTCACTTTGTCAGCACTAGAGCTATGGCGATCACTCTGCAAGACCCTGCTGCAGGTGGTGGGCCATCCCAGGCTTTTTCAGTACCAGTCTTAGGACTGGAGTCACAGTGCATGTGCCATGTAATGTCATGGATGTTGGAGGGCTGCTGTGAGTGGGAGGCGAAGGGTGAGGAGCACCTTTTCTTTAAAAAGCAGGGGGCTGGGGCTGTAGCTCAGCAGAGAGCCTGTCTAGCCTGCAGGACTCTCTGGTTACATCTCCAGGATGACCAAAAAAAATAAAAAAATAGTCCTTAGAAAGGCAGGAGTAAGGTCTGAGCATCTTCTCAGGAGCCACAGGCATCAGCTTGCCTCCACTACCTGCTCATGGCCAGGACCGTCTCTGGTTGCATCCCGTTGCTCCCTTCCTTGTGTCAGCTGTCCTTTCTGCCCGTGGCTGCCCCTGGGGCTCAGGCAACTGTGGCTTGGTCTGCCATGCAGGCTGGTCCAGGGCATGTTGGGATGGGGGCTCAGTTCTGGCCTTCCATCTCCACTGGACTCATCACCAGTGCTGGTCCTGGAGAGGATGACCAGGCTGAAGGCAGGAGGAAGGTGGGGCAGAGGAGGCAGTGGCTGGGAAGCATAGTCCCCTCGGCTGACCCTGTGCAGGCTTGAGGCTCCTCGTCTTCTCCCAGGCTCCTGCAGAAGCAGTGGCAGCGGCTACAGAAGCTGGAAGAGCAGCTGATCCAGTTGAGTGCCCAGGTCAAAGACAAGGAGGAAAACAAGCATGTGGTCCTGGGCACCTCCAAGCTCAGCTACCTGGACCCCAGGATCAGCATCGCCTGGTGCGCGGGCCCTCACGCAGTCCCATTGGTCCCCGTCCCATATCCCCCGTGGTGGGCACAAGTCCTTCCTGTGGCAGGGACCAGCCTGACTGGGTGCCCTGTTTCTTTGGTCCTCCCTCCCGAGCTTTGAGACAGCTTGGGATGGGGCTGTCCGTGGCATGGGAAGTGAGGTAATGCGGGTGCTCACCTGCCCACTGGGAGTGGGAGGTGGCCAGGAATGAGGGCTGTCTGAGCACCCCGCTTTGTGGTCACCTGGGCTACATCAGTGTGGCCTTTGGTGCCTTCTGACACCTGGGGTGGAGGTGCCAGCGGGTCCAGGCTGCATAGTTCCTGGTTTTCCTGCTGCGCAGAGGCTGTCCTGCTCTGAAACCTTGGCCTTCAGGGCAGGATGAGGCTGACATGGAGCCCCCGCAGGTGTAAGAAGTTCGGGGTGCCGGTGGAGAAGGTCTACACCAAGACACAAAGGGAAAAGTTCACCTGGGCTCTTGACACGGCAGAAGACTTTGAATTCTAAGTGACTGTCTTCACTGGAACTCCGTTTGTGGGTTTTTTCACACCCTTGAAGCAGTGCTGGGAGTTTTATATGGTAAAATGTTTTGTGCAAGTGTTCGCTATCATGATGCAGAACAAAGGCCTTACCGGGCTTTGTCCCTGGCAGTGCCCCCAGCACATCCTGGCTCTCACCTACCCCGGAACCCCAGCCTAGCCTTTGGATGGTGGCTTCTGGAAGAGCAGAGACTGTGTCTGTGTGACCCACCCCTTCCTTCAGCAGAGGCCCAGTCCCCATACATCTGGCTCTTGGTGAGGCCACAAATATACTTTGTCACTGCACTCGGTGGCCACTTCCAGTTCCTATCTGTCTCACCCAAGCCAGGGCTGGTGCCCAGTCCTCATGCACGCTAGGCACATGGTCTCCCACTGAGCTACCTCCCCAGTCCTCTCTACAGCTTTCTACACGTGCTGTCCTGCCTCAGTTTCCCAACCCTGTATTCTTCCAAGTCTTGTCCTCCCCTTGGGTGTCCCTGTCTCCTTTGCAGGGCTGACTTGTGTCTGTTCAACACTCTGCTTGCCTGGCTGCCCCACAGCTGTTTGCTCCCTCTAGGGCTTTGCTTAACTTTCTGGGGCTCCCTCCACCTCACGGCTTAAATTGAGGGTGCCAGCAAGGCAGGTCCCAGCTCCCTTGGTTGTCTAACTTACTGGTGTCCAGTTGGAGACCTCTGGTCAGATTAGAGGACCCCAGCCATGACTGGGACTCGGCTCCTCCACAGCTGCTCCTGGTCCTGCTGACACCCATCACTGTGAACCTGGACTCCTGTCGTTGTAGCAGAATGACTTCAGGGGCCTCAAGGCTCTCCACCCACCTCTCCAGAGGGGCCTTCCTGGGCAGGGACATGGAACAGGGTTGCAGAGAAGGAAGTCAAAGAATGGGAAGGCAGAGGGCATCAGCTGTGGGGCCCCAGGCCCCAGGAAGGAAGCCTGTGACGCAGGACTGAGACACATCTGAGTCCGACCTCACAGGAGATGGGCAAGGTAGCCGTCCCTCTGTGCAGGTGAGAAATGGACCAACTTCAGACCTGGAAACTAAGTCCAGCATTCCCAGCTCCACAGCTGCCTCTGTCCTTTGCCGGGTTGTGTGGTTTGACACAGTCTGGAACAGCAGGCAGGGTGTGGCCAAGAGGGAGCACTCCAGGGCAGTGGCTGGACCTCATGCAGGTTTCCACAACTCTAAGGCCATCCAGTGACCGAAACCCATGTGTCCTGGCATCTTGGTCTACCTAGCAGCTGTAATGACTGCACTTGCTCCAGTCTCCAGCCTGCCCTCCCTACCCTCCAGCACACCTGCTTCTAGACAGGTGGTCACCTGGCTGCCACAGTTCCTCTTCTCACTGGGGACAATCTAAGGTCTTTGAGTCAGTTGTCTCTGGACTGTCTTGTACATGGTCAGGAGCTAGCTGTGTCATCTACACACAAAGGTCAGAAGTACAGACTGCATCTTAGTGCTGAGCTCATGTCTAGATTTTCCGGAAAACACCCCTGGTCCCAAGCCAGCGGCCCAGCAAGCCTGGCCAGAGCAGGTACTGAGAGAGAGGATGATGCAGCTCACACCTGGGACACCGCGTTACCACTTTAAACCACTAGGTTTGGGGGAATTGTTACTCGGCAAACGCTAACACAGAAACTGCCCTAAAAGTGGGGTGCTGTTATGGACTGAATATTTATGACCCCTCCAAACGCCTATGTTGATGTCCTGATCCCCAACCTGACGGCACTTAGAGGTGGTGCCCTTCGCAGTCATGAGGTTCACAGGTCAGCAGGTGGAGCCCTCTGATGGCAGAGGCACAGAGCGTCCTATCTACACAGCACACACCAGGAAGGCCACATCAGCACATGGCAAAAAGATGGCTCTGCAAGCCAGTAGATAGGCCTCACCAGGAACTACCCTGACCTTCAGAACCTTGACCTTGGACATCTAGCCCCCAGAACCATATATGAGGAAAAAATGTTGGTGTCCAAGCTGCTTTGTAAAATTATAACAGCCCGAGCTGTGAAAGGTGACACTAACAAACATCCAAGACACAGCACTGAGTGATCCGTGCAGTGGACAAAGACTATGACGACGGTAAAGATACTCAGCAGAGCCTCTTACTGGGGTAGAGAAGAGATTAGGTGAAAAAACACCGCTTTCAGTAACCTGAGTGTGAACAAGGAGAAAGCTCCAGATTATTGGGAAGCCTGGCATGTGCTTCCGACTGCACAGAGATTTTAGAGGTGAAATGAGAACAGTATTCAGTTTGCAAGCAAAACTTACAGGAAAACAGAGCTAGAGTTTGTACCATTTGGAAAATATCACCAGTTCACATCTAGTTTCTGGTCAGCAAGATTCTGAAAAGTAATAAGTGGCCTTGGAGTAAAGATGAAATCAGGGTTGTGGCCATAAAAATTTCTTAAGGTCCCAGAAAGGTTTCATTTAGTACTCAGTACAAACTACACAAAAAGGTTTCAGAGTGTCTAGCAGTGTCCCCAGCATCCTAACACATGGTGAAAATATTAACTTGAAAAACGTTAAGTGTGTTTGTCTAATGGAGTACACTAGTTTTCCACAAAGGAAACTCACAGGGTTTTCAAGGGCACTGCACAAGCTTGAATGAAAAGTAACTGACATAGTTCACAATGAACCCTTTGGGTTCCCGTCTTTCTGCAGGCCTTGTGCAGTCTGAGGAAGAACTCAGCTACAAACATGGGTCTGTTCCCCTTAATCTTTTTTTTAAATTTTTTCATGATACTAAGATTTGAACTCAAGGCTTTGGGGTTACTAGGCAAGTGCGCTACCACTTAAGCCATGCCTCCAGCCCCACCCACCTCCTTTTTCATTTTTTTGCTTTATTTTGCAGTGCTGGGGGTCAATCCCAGGGCCTGGCACGTGCTAAGAAGCACTCTACCACTGAGGTGATGACTCCAGCTGCTCTTTTTATTCTTTTAACAAGATTTCGCCAGCTTTACCGTTCCATTTTGGCTATTACGTTTTCATTCTTTTTTTTTTGGTGGTGAACTCAAGGCTTTGTACTTGCAAAGCAGGCGCTCTACCATTTGAACCACCTCCAGTCCATTTTGCTCTTGTTATTTTAGAGATGGGGTCTCCCGAACTATTTGCCTGGGGTGGCCTGGAACCACAATCCTCCCCATCTCAGCCTCCCAAATAGCTGGGATTACAGGTGTGAGCCAGTGGTGCCTGGTTCACACCTTCATTTCTAAGACCTTATTTTTGAATCATTCCTTTAAACATAGTATTCTGAGTCAGCACGGCGGTGCAGACTGCTATCCCAGCATGCAGGGGGCTATGATGAGAGGGTTTCGAGCTCACTGCTAACCCAGGCTACACACACAGACTGTCTCAAAAAATAAAAAATTAAATAAGAATAATATTCTGTTCTCATTTTATCTCTTTGTACTGTTACTGTTTTTTATTTCTTCAGACAGGGTCTCACTATGCTGTGCAGGCTGGCCTTGACCCCTTGGTTCAAGGGCTCAGCCTGCTGAGTAGCTGGGAACACAGGTGCTGACAACCACAGCTGGCTTCCTTTTTAGTCTCTGAGGTTAGGAAATGAAATTTCGTTCACCTTTTCATTGCCTTCACTAGTTCTGTTTCCCTCCAAGTTCACAGGCAGATATTTATGTCTGACTTCTCACTTTCTCATTTGTCTGGGGGAAGCAGCCATCAGGTGGTTGGTGACGTCTGCCTTTGCAGCCACACAGACAGTGCAAAGGACAGTGGAAGATAGACGGGCACAGGAGAGTCTTGCTGACCAAAGCACAGGCCCAGCAGCGTGGCCAGGATGGGCTGGGGTTGTCCTTTTCCTCAGGTACTTGGGCTCAAGCAGCTTTACTCCTTACCACGAGTGAGGGTGCAGACCTGGGGACTCCAGTGCCCCCTGCGCTCACCTCCAGCCTCTTCTGTTCTCTGCCCCACGAGCCCTGCTGCAGTCTCAGTCGGGACTGTGCACCTGCTGGTGTTGGATCAGATGAAAGCTAAGGCGGAACGCCCGCCCACACTCGGCGCAGCGGAAAGGCTTCTCGCCTGTGTGGACCCTCTGGTGCCGGAAGAAGCCGGACAGCGCCCGGAACGCGCGGCCACACTGGCCACACTCGTAGGGCTTCTCCCCAGTGTGGATCCGGCGGTGTTCGTTGAGGAAGGAGCTGCGGCTGAAGGAGCGGCCACAGTCCTGGCAGGTGTAGGGCCGCTCCCCGGTGTGCACGCGCTGATGCTGGATGAGGTTGGAGCTCTGGCTGAAGGCCTTGCCGCACTCCTTGCACTCATACGGGTTCTCGCCGTGGTGAACCCTCCGGTGCCGGATGACGTTGGAGCTGTGGATGAAGGTTCGGCCACACTCGTGGCACTCGTACAGCCTCTCCCCAGTGTGGGTCCGCTGGTGCTTGGCAGCGTCTGACCTCTGGCTGAAGGCCTTGCCGCACTGCGCGCACTCAAACGGCTTCTCCCCGGTGTGGGTGCGCTGGTGTCGCACCAGGTTGAAGCTCTGGCTGAAGGCCTTGCCGCACTCCTCACAGACGTAGGGCTTCTCCCCGGTGTGCGTGCGCTGGTGCCGGACCACGTGCGAGCTGTGAATGAAGGCCTTCCCGCAGTCACTGCACTCGTACGGCTTCCCCCCACAATGGATGCTCTGGTGCTTCACCACATCCGAGCAGCACTTGAAGCTCCGCTCACAGGCACTGCACTGGTAAGCTCGCCCTTTCCAGCGGCCTCGCCGATCTGTCGCAGAGCCTGAATTCAAAGCCACGTCTGACCTGGACATACCGTCTTCACAGTCATTCTGCCTTCTAGCTTTCTCGGGAACAAACAGTTCCTGGGGGGCATCTCTGGCCATCTCTCTGGTGTCCTCAAGTTCACAAAGGGCAAGAGGCTCCAGTGCCTGGGGAGGCCCCTGCAGCAGACCTGGCACAGCCTCTCCATGGCACCCTCCTGCTTCAGAAGCTCCCTGCTGTAGCATCTGCCCTGCACTCTGAGCTGCCTGCACAGCGACTGGCACCGCACATGCAGCAGCCTGGCCACTTGGAAAATCAGCTTCCACAGCTGGAAGAGACCAGACACATACAATCTGAGACATAAGAAACCATCACCCAATACGAGAGAATCTGAGATGCGCTGGCAAGCGATGGTGATGACTGAGCAGTAAGAATAAAGATGGACAGTGGACACCTATTTTCTTGTCTAGTTCCTGTCTAGCACTCCTCCCCTACTGCTTAATACCCAAGGTCACAGGCATGGATGAGGGACCAGAGGGGGCTAATGGGAACCCTTCGCTGTGACTCCAGATGTGGGCTGAGTCTTCAGCCTTCACCTGCCCTACCTCTGGAATGGAGGGGACAGAATCAGGCTTGTGCATCCTCACTTCACCACGTGGCCTCAAAAGCACAGGCAACAGGGTGGCACAAAGAGCAAGAGCTTCAGCGGGAGGTGCAGGGACAAAAGTGTCCCAGCAGGGCAACATCCCAGCCCCAGCTTCTTTCTCGGACCTTGGATTCCCGGAACACTGTCCTCCACAGCAACTCAACCTGTCAACTCAGAGGGCTGTGCCCCTGTTCATGTGCAGTCAGTAGCAAGAATGGTGCACAGCAGTCCACCCGAGTTCTCAGAGCTGGCCAGCTGAGGGGTCTCCCATCCAGCCTGCGCACCAGCTGTCCTTGCTGTTTGAGTTAAGCTCAGTCCCACAGGCTCAGAGACAAACCATATAGCCACTCAGGTAAACCTTGATGGCAGTGATGGTAGAACATCAGGATGTCAGAGTGCTGGCTGTTAGCTGCAGCCTTCCTAAAAGACAGGAATCTCCAGCAGGAGGTGGCACAGAGAAGGGACAAGGACTGCACAGCCAAGCTAAGGGGACTCCTCCTGTACCCTCTCATGCATTCCCAAAGTGCAGAGGTAATGGAGACTCTGTGAGTGGGCCATGGCAGGGATAGTAGGCCTAAGCAGACCAGAACAGGCACCTGTCCTGGGACTGAGCCATTACTCTGACAACACAAGGTTGTCAGGAAAATGCCCAGCAGGGTATTCAGAACACACCCTGGTCTTGTGGTTGTAGACCTGAAAGTTCAAGAAACAAACTCAAAGGTATTGAATATGAAGAAAAAGCACTGGTTAAAATTACAGTGATGGGAGCCTCTGCTGGATCATGCCTGTGAGTGCTGAGGACCACTTCTTCCTGAAGAAACCCAGGCAACAATGGGCAGCCCTGCACCGTCCAGTCCTGCAGTGGGTGTTGTCTTCCCAGTAAGCATCTCACAAGGTAGTCCAGGAGCCATAAACAAAAAGCAGTTCTCACTGGGGTTGCTGTGTCCCCAGGGAATACATGGCAATGTCTATAGATGGTCTCGCTTGTCACAACTGGGAGGGGTATCCTGGCAACTAATGAGCAGAGCCCACGATGCTGTCAAAGCTACTACAATGTCCAGGACCACCCCTCGATAGACTCATACATCCCAAAATGCCCAGGGCCAAGCCTGAGAAACCCTGACAGACCTTTCTATAGGTAGAGCCTGGGGCTGCCCAGGCTTCTAACCAAGAAACCCGGGGCCACTAAGCAAAGATGCAGTTAGCAGGCGAACACATGAAACCTGACGGGCCTGTGGTTCGCCTCACTGCCTTGCTCTTTTCTGATGCTGCTGCTTCCACGGTGATTAGCCTGTTTTTCCCCCACTACTCTGTGTTGCCACTGGCTAGAATGATCACCTAGCCCAAAGCTGCAGGATTATGAAGAACCCTATAAGGATGGGACTCAACACAGGTCACACAAGGGAGGGAGAACCCCAGCTGGACACCCTGGACTTGAGAGGCAGCTCCTCAGTGGTGCACCTGAGAGGGACCGGCATGTGTGTGTGGGCACAGGGGATAAGTCTGAGTTTGTGGGAGGCACAGTCCTGTTGAGTTGGGTCCTTGTGTATTCTGATTTTAACAGCTGTGTAAACTCAGGCTCCCAGTGTCTGAAAGAATGAGCAGTGTGTTAAGAAGTTTCCTTGCTAAGGGTAGATGGTGTTGCTGGGAGCACTAGTTATGTAACATGACAAGAGAACAAGGATAAGGTGAGGTGAGTTCTCAGCTCTGACTGTCCTCGAATGTCACAGGCCTTGCCTCTTGAGCCAGAGGGAAGCTGAGACCTGACAGGGCAGATGGCCAGAGGAGTGGAAGGCTCACTAGGACTTCCCCTCATCCAACTCTCCCTGAAGCTGCCCCCTCCTCCTGAGCCCAGGACAGCTGACATTCAGGGTGCAGAGGAAGCATGAGAGAAGCACCTGGAAGAGGTGGCAGGAAGCAGTGAGGGGACACGGAGCTGAGGCTGGGAAAAGAGGCAAATGGTTCATCCTAAGCATCTGGGCTGTGGGAGCCAACTCCTAGGCTGTCCCTATTCTCTCCTTTCAGAAAGGCCCTTCCCCAACTCCTCTGGGTCTGTGGGTCCCCTCAAGCTCCTCACCTGTGGAGGTCTCCATCTGGATATCCCTCTCCTTGGTGGCTGAAGATCAGTGGCTCCCCACCCCGCTGTACTCCGCAGAACAGCAGCAACGGGAACAGCTTCTGCCTGGGTAAATGAGAGGAAAAGGAACAAAATGACTTGAGGGCTAAGTAAAGGGACAGGGATGAGGTCACAGTGTCTTCAGGAAAGAGAGGCTTGGAACAGCCTCAACCAGCTAGACTCGCTGCTGTCACTACCCTTCCAGTGTTATGTGCCAGTTTAAAGTGTTGCAGGCCGGTGTCGAGGGTCCTTGCCTTCACAGGCCAGAGAACTGGCTCGTGAGGCAGCTGGTTGACTTGTAAGCCAAAGCCGGTGTACCAAGTAGGGTTTATTAGAGAGAAAGGAAAGGCTATAGCTAGAGCTGTGCAGTGGAGCCTGGAAACCGGTAGCTCGCTGCTCAGGTGAAGGCTGGGGCTTTTATGGATGTTTTAACTCTGGGTTTGGGTAAGGGTTAGGTGGGCTCTTTTCATTGGCTGTGGATTCACGGGCTTTCTTAGGTGAACTGGTTTGTTTGCCCCTTACTGGGTGGGGAATCTTGAGAGCATGTTTCTCATCAGCCCTGTGGCAGATCTATGAGACCCTGCATCTCCTCTTCAGGATGCAGAAATGTAGATCTATAACTCCTCAGGGTGACATTCACTCATCTGCCTTAAGTCTCCAGATCCAACAAGTCCCCCCTCTGAGACAAGTACCCAACTGCTGTTGGGGAGAGGGGTGATGACTCATCTAGCTGCTTTGTGCTGACAATGGGGCTAAAGGGGGATAGGAGTGGTGGTACTTGTCTCAGGGGTTGACCTGTATAATCTACAGGGACCCCCGATAGAACAGGATGGAGAGCCCATGCGTAGGCAGAGGTGAGTATTCCTTAAGCTTGAGATGATGGACCTGTTGAGATATGAATCTAGAGAGAGCATCTGTTATGCAAGGCCCAAACAGGAATATTAGTAGGAGCATACAAGTCTGGCAAGGGCTGCATATCTAGGGATTCAGATTCTGCAAAATCCTGTAACTCCCAAGAAAGCTCCAAGCTGCTTTATGGTCAGGGGGAGTGGGAAGCAGAGGACTGGGTTGATTCCCTCATGACTCAGGGAGTGAGTCTGTCCTCCCTCTGAGACAAGTACCCAACTGCTATTGGGGAGAGGGATGATGACTTATCTAGCTGCCCCATAAGGGGCAAACCCATCAGTTCATCTAAGGAAGCCAGCAAATCCACGGCCAATGAAAAGAGCCCACCTAACCCTTACCCAAACCCAGAGTTAAACATCCATAAAAGCCCCAGCCTTCACCTGAGCAGAGAGTACCAGTTTCTGGGCTCCACTGCACTGTTCTGTCTGTAGCCTTTCCTTTCTCTCTAATAAACCCTACTTCTTGTACCGGCTTTGGCTTACAAGTCGACCAGCTGCCCCACAAGCCAGTTCTCTGGCCTGTAAAGGCAAGGACCCTCGACACCGGCCCACAACACTTCAAACTGGTCAAACTGGCACATAACACCAGGAAGTCACCCCAAACGAGCTTCTGTGGCCATCCTGAGGACAGGTCCAGACTGCTGTCTCCTGCCCTACAGATGCACTAGCTGCTTGCTGTGCTCCTCCCTCTCCCGCCGACCTGGCCCAGACCTGCAGTCCCAAAATATCTGGAGAAATGTCCATGACTTTAAGTTTTTTTCATGACAATTATGAAGATTTAAATATAAAAAATAATGAAACAAACTGGAGAAAAACGTGAGTTCAGGAATGATTCCCTAAGCATGCCATGCAAGTGTAAATCTAACTAGGTAACAAAATACAAAAACCAAAAAAGGGGGACGGGGGAACCGGCGACATAGATCTGACCCAGCTCCTCGGTAAAGACCTGCACACCACACTTGGAGGGCGAGCCCGCCGAGGGTCAGGAGCAGGCGGCCCGCGGGGGGCGCGGCTCCGTGGTGGGGCGCGAGTCGAGCACGCGCGGAGCTCCGGCTTCCCTCCCCGCACCGCACAGGTAACGGGCACAACCGCAGCAGCAGCGGAAGCACATCCCTTAGGCTACGGTCCTCGGCGACTGAGGGCTGCGGCTCGCGGGGCCCCCGAGACCCACCGGTCCACCTCTGCGGCCCGGGAGCCGCGGCGGTACAGGCGGGCAGCGGCTCTTAGGTGGCCAGCACGCCCCACCTGATGCCGCAGCTGCTGCGCGCCGGAAGCTCCGCGCCCACGTCCCGCCCCTTCCCCCTGGCACTTCCGGGACGCTCTGGGCCGTGGGAGGACTGTGCTCGGTGTCCCGGCCCCGCCCCGCCCCGCCCCGCCCCGCCCCGCCCCGCCCCGCCCCGCGGGGTCCTAAGCACCCTGTGCGGCTCCCACCCTCTGCCCCCGCGTGGCGGGCGGCGGGACCGGGTGGCTCCTGCGTGGCGGCCAAGGCAGCTGCAGAAGGAGAAAGTGAACGAGCGAACAAATGAGTGAATTCAGGCTCCCGCCGCCACGGGACGCGTTCCCACGCCCGGCGGCGCTGGGCAGGGCCGGGTCGATTCGAGGCCGCCGGGAGAGCCACCCTCACGCTCGGTGACGGTGACGGCAGGGTCCGGTCCCCGAGGGCAAGGGGTGTCACCTGCGCTCCGGTCCTCTCTGCGTCCCCGGGCCTTCTCCCCAATGACTGGTGCCCGCGGGAACCGGTCTCTCCTGCTGACCGATCGGGAGACGTCAGAGCCAAGTGACCCGGCCTGCCCGCGGCCCCTCTAGGACTGTCCTCCTAAGGACATGCCCGGCCTGCAGCCTCCCACAAACCCGTCATTGGACGCGGGTCACGCAGGTCCAGCTGGGACGCTTGCAAAGCAAGGCCTCCCCAGGGTAGCACACCTAGAAGCCCCTGGCCTCCTGCTTTTCATTGATTGGCCTGTGAGACCTTTGACCACGAGCGCCCAGTGCCGTCAGGTTTTGCTGCTGTGTGACTACGATGAATAGACCATCCAGGGAGGAGGGAGAAGCTGAGGAGCCAGCTAAGGAACCCTAAGCGACAGGCAGGATGCATCCCGGACTGGAGGCGACAATGCCATGACCCATCCTGGGAGGAAGACAGGACTGCAACCTGGACTTGGGTAAAGCTGTGTCACCTGCTGTCCCCGGGAACGGTGTGGGAATTGAAGTACACACTCGGGTGTTGGGGTCCAAGGGATGTGGGGTGTGCAAACCACATGAAAAGTTTAGGAAAGAAAACTTTGTATAGATACAAAAAAATGTAAAGGGTGCATTTTGTTCATGGTGTGAACAGTGATTCTTCCTTCTTTCTGTTTTGCTGACATAATAGGAAAAATGGGTTTGGCCAAAAGTTTTATGAAAAAACTGAAATCCTGACAAACACAGGTAAAATAAGACATTTATAAGCTTGTAAGAACGGGGGCAGGCTTAGTTCTTTCACTAAGTTCCACCCACTAGGGTGCTTTGCTATCCTTTCAATAACCTTTGTGTTTAAAAAAAAAAAGAATGTGGGGGGAAAAGCCTGGGGAGGTAACTCAGTGGTGGAGTGTTTGCCTACCAGGCCCTAAGGCCCTGGGTTCAATTCCCAGTACCACAGGGACACATGGGGGGAAGCTGTTTCACCTTTGAAAGCCCTAGCTGCATCCCAAGTATATTCTAGCCCACCAGGATAGCGGGTACAGTGCTAGGCCAGCATGCCTGGACCCCAAAGATTTTCTTCAAATGTGCCCGCCCACTCTTCCCAGTTTTTTGCCATACAGAATGTGTGGCTGGTGCCCAATGACATTCCTTCCTGAAGAGGGCATGAGTGCAGACTCAGTCATGGGTCTACATTGGGATTTCATTCCCAACCAGTCAGGGATGCATGGCGGGCAGATGGAGTTAGAGTGGTTTTCGGTTCAGGCCCCTCCTCACACCACCTAGAAACAGCATCCCTTTCCATTTGGGGTGAGAAAAGTTCTCCCAGCCCCTTTCCCATCAGATCTTCCCCTGCACACCCTCATTGGCCTGTGGCCAGTGTCAGGAAAACATTCAGGGCTTTTCCCTGCGGGGACAGAGGTCTTCACTCTCTGCAGCCTGACTGAGGCCTACAGCAGCTGCAGACGAAGGCCTGAGAGAGCCTCGCAGAGATGACAGGCTGGGTCAAGCGTGACTGTGGTCCCCAGCCCTGGGGCCTGGAGCTCCTGGGTTCTCTCGGCACTCCTCACCTCTGTGCTGTCTCTGGGTCCTCCCAGGCCGGCAGACTGTACTCTCGGCAGGGTCCACTTCATGCCAAGAGTCCAGGCAGGATGCTCAGAGAGCTGCAAGACCCTAGAGGTGAGGAGGCCAAGGAGGCACTGGCAGAGATGGCCAAATGCCCACTGACTGGTTTGTGTCCCTAACATGCCATGCACTCTGTCTCCACTAAATCAGACCTCAGGGGGATGTTCCAGACAGGCAAGACCCCTCACACTGGCAAATGGCCACTGTTCTCCCATCCTCAACCCTTTATCATGATAATCAGCATTAAATATTAACGAGAGAGATTGAGAGAGAGTTGTAGAGATGAGGAAATCTAGGTTTTCACAGGGAGGAGCTGGTGCACAGGAAAGGCAGGGACACCCCTCCCTGGCCAGGACAAGCCAGGCCATGCTGGGCTGATAGACAAGCAGTTGCAGACCACAGAGGCCATTTCTTGCTTGAGCTCCACGATCATCATGTGCTCTGCTCCTCAGTGCTCTGCTCCTCAGTCCATCCTCATCTCAAGGCTGGGGCTGATGGAATAGACCTTGTTGAGCCATTGTTGGTCACTCACGGTGGGCAAAGGGCAGACAATGTGGAGAAGCCACACTGGCTCTTCCTGTTGCCCTTTCATTGACTGCAGCAGGTCCTAGGCACAGACTGGTTCAAGAGAACTGGGAGTGCACAGGGAACAAGAGGTGGCTGCCACTTTGCCTGCAGCAGTGAACTGCAGGGTGACCCACGGCCAGAGTAGTTTCCTCTTCTGGTCCAGCGATAGCTTCCAAATGCAAGCACTGAAGGAGAATGCAGATGACCACCACAGGGGACAGGGCGGTGTGATGGTTAGGGTTGACTGTCACCTTGATTGAATTGTGAAGCACCTAGGAGATTAGCTGGGTTTGTCTGTGAGGGTGTTTCCAGAGAGGATTAACCCTGGGGGAAGACCTGCCCTGAAGTGGGTGGCACCGTCTCATAGGCCAGGAATAAAAGGGTTTCCCCTTTTGGGAGAAAGCCCAGTGCTGGCATTCCCTCTATCTACTTCTTGGCTGCAATGAGGTGAAGGACTCCTCCCCGTGCTCCAGCCGCCATGGTGTTCTGCACAAGCATGTGGGGCCGAGCTACCATGAACCCAAGCCTCTGAAACCATGAGACTTTAAGTTGTTTCCACCAGGTATTTCGTCACAGCAACACAAAAAGTAACTACCACAGGTAGTCACACACAGGACATCCACACTGCTCACAGAACCATTGCGCAGCC